CCCGTTCTGGGCCAATGGAGTCTTTGGCTCGGAAGCCACCTGGCCCGTTCTTTCCCATTGTATACTAGATGGTGAAACTGAGGCCCCCAGAGGGGCGTGGCTTACGGAAGGTCATAGAGCTATTTGGTGGCACTCAGGACGGGGAAACGGGTCTCCTCGCTCCCAGTCCTGGCCCTTCTCATCTTCTCCGTCCTTGGAGATGGCCACGCCTGCCGCACCTGGACACTGGCTGCTCTCCTGGGGCTGCAGGAAGTTTCTAGGCTCTCGGCCACCTGGCAGGGACCCCTCCCACGGGCTGGGGGGAAAGGAAGGCCGGTCCCTGAGCTAGTGGCCCGAGGCCCTTGGACGCGCCAGAAAAGGGAATTTGACCCGACCCCAGAGCGTCACCTGGTGGCCAGATGTTGTTACTACAAGAGGCTGGTGAGGGTGTGAATAGTTTGGTCAATGGGTACAAACATACGGTTAGAAGGGTGAGTTCTAATGCTCGACAGCAGAGTGGGGTGACGATAGCTAGTAACAAGGTATTGTATATTTAAAAAGAGCCAAGAAAGGTCCGGGTGTGGTGGCTCACGCCTGAAATCCCAGCACTTTGCTGGAGCCCGACATGTAGAAATGATAAATACTCTAGGCACCGGATATCCCAAATACCCTGACTTAATCATTCCACATTGTTTTGGCTTTTTTTGAGTCAGAGTCTCACTCTGTCGCCCAGACTGCAGTGCAGTGGCACGCTCACAGCCACCGCAGCCTCGACCTACTGGGCTCGGGTGATCCTTCCACCTCAGCCTTCCAAGTAGCCGGAACTACAGGTGCGTGCTACCATGCCCGGCTGATTTGTAATTTATTGTAGAGATGAGGTCTTGCCAAGTTGCCCCGGCTGGTCTCGAACCGGTGGGCTCAGGCAATCCACTCACCTCAGCCTCCCAAAGTGCTGGGATTACAGGCTGAGCCACAGAGCCCGGCCGATCATTCCACATCGTATGTGTATTACAAAATATCACATGTACCCCATAAATAGATATACATATTATATATCAGCAAACAGTATTTATTTATTTGTTTGTTTGTTTATGTGACTCAGAATCTTGCTCTGTCGCCCAGGCTGGAGGGCAGCGGCATGCTCACGGCCACCACAGCCTTGACCTGCTGGGCTTAAGCAATCTTTCCACCTCAGCCTTCCAAGTAGCTGGAACTACAGGTCTGCCACCATGTCCGGCTAATTTTTTGATTTATTGTAGAAACCAGGTCTCGCCATGTTGCCCAGGCTGGTCCCCAACCTTCGCCATCAGGCAGTCCTCTCATGTCTGCCTCCCTAGGTACTAGGATTATAGGCGTGAGCTGATCACCTGGCTAGTATACAATTTTTAAAGAGCTGGGCGTTGTGGCTTGCACCTACAATCCTAGTACTTTGGAAGCCAGGAGTTTGCTTGAGCCCAGGAGTTCCAGACCAGCCTGGGCAACATAGTGAGACCTTGTCTCTACAGAAAAATTTAAAAATTGGCTGGGCTCGGTGGCTCAACCCAGCACTTTGGGAGACTGAGGCGAATGGATTGCCTGAGCCCGCAGGTTTGAAACTCACCCGGGCAACTTGGCGAGACCTTGTCTCTTCAATAAAAATAAGAAATTAGCAGGGCATGGTAGCGCATGCCTGTAGTTCCAGCTACTGGGAAGGCTGAGGCGGAAGGATCGCCGGAGCCCAGCAGGTTGAGGCTGGGAGTGTGCCACTGCACTCCAGCCTGGGCAACAGAGTGAGACTCCAACTCAAAAAAAATAAAATAAAATAACCAGGCGGGGTGATACGTGCCTGTAGTTCCAGCCATTTGGGAGGCTGAGGTGAAAGGATTCTCTCGAGCCAGGTGGTCAAAGCTGCAGTGAGCCGTGAGTGTGCCACTGCACTCCAGCCTGGACAACAGAGTGAGACCCGACTCAAAAAAAAACAACAGAAAATATAAAAAGTAAAAGATTCCAGTCTTGCTTGCAGAGAGTGCATGCTCACTTCCAACGGCTGTGGTGAGCACTTTGTTGTCACCCTAGCTGCTGATGACATGGATGCTGAGGCCACCGGCCTGGGTCTCCCTCCCAAACCCACCATTTCTTTCCTGGGTGACTCTGGACAAATTACCCAGGCCTTCCGTGCCTCTGCGTTCCCCTCTGTACACCAGGACTAAGTGAGGCTGCGTGTAGAAAGCACCGAGACCCGGGCGCTGGGGCTCACGCCTGTCATCCCCGCACTTTGGGAGGCGGAGGCGAAAGGATTGCCTGAGCCCAGGGGTTTGAGACCAGCCCGGGCAACATGGAGAGACCTTGTCTCTGCAATCAATTAAAGGAAGAAAAAATTAGCTGGGTGTGGTGGTGTGCACCTGTAGTTCTAGCTACTTGGAGAGCTGAGGCAGAAGGATGGCCTGAGCCCGGGAGGTCGAGGTTGCAGTGACCATGTGCGTGCCACTGCACTCCAGCCTGGGTGACAGTGAGACTCCGACTCAAAAAAAAAAAAAGAAAGCCCTGAGAGCAGTGCCTGTCAAACCATCAGCACTCCATGAGGGCTACGGTGATGTTCTTTCATTGCTTCTCTTGTATCCTGTGAAGTGAAGACGATTGTGATGCCTGCCTGACAGAAGAGAAAATCAGGCCTCGCTGTCACGAGGCGGTAGAGTGGAGCCTCTAGCCTGGGCGTTTAACTCCCGGGACCCTTAAAACCAGGAGCGAGGGATGAGGGGGCTTCTGGTGGTGGGAGAGATGGATGGGTGACCCCAGGGCCCAGGAGACAGCCCTCGCCCCCTGCCCTCTGTCCTTCCAGCCTGTCAGCCGCCCGCAGGTACTACTTCGAGGTGCTGCACAAGCAGAACGAAGAGGGCACCGACCACGTGGAAGTCGCCGTGAGTGCCTGCCGCTCTCGCCTGCCCAGTTCTGCCCCAGCACCCCCTCCCTGCTCCCCCAGCCCCCACTCCGAACCCGGTGGCCTCCAGCCTCCCACATCCGGCCCCTCTCCTCTTCCAGTGGCGGCGGAACGAGCCCGGAGCCAAGTTCACCGTCATCGACTCCCCCTCCCTGTCCCTCTTCACAAGTGAGTGGCCTCTGCCCTTGGCCTGGAGGGTGGTGCCCGTGGGGTGGTGCCCGTGGGGGGCGCCCAGCCCGCCTGGGGGATCCATCAGGGCGGAGGTGGGAGGGGCGGAGGCTGCAGCTCGAGGTGCTTGGGACACACGGGGGAGGGAGTCCGGAACACGGAGCCTAACAGGCCCTCACCATCCGGGAACCTTAACCCCGGGGTCAGTGCCTCCTTCGAGAGCTTGCTAGAAGCTCTCTGCGCCCTTGCTCAGAAAAATACCCTTGTCGACGACCCCCACACAGTACTTTTTTTTTGTCAAGACAAGGTCTTGCTATGTCGTCCAGGCTGTTCTCAAACCCCTGGGCTCAAGCAGCCCTCCCGCCTTGGCCTCCCAAAGTGCTGGGATTTACAGGCGTGAGCCACTGTGCCCGGTTCACACACACACTTCAAATACAATTTCAAAGGAGATTGAAGAAGTTTGAAGAGACCATGAGGCTCACTCCAGGTTTTTTTTTTTTTTTTTTTTGAGTTGGAGTCTCCCTCCGTCGCCCAGACTGGAGTGCAGTGGCCGCTCCCGGCCACCGCAGCCTCGACCTGTGGGCTCCGGCGATCCTTCCGCCTAAGCCTTCCGAGTAGCCGGAATTACAGGCACGTGCTACCACGCCCGGCTGATTTTTTTGATTTATTGTAGAGATGAGGTCTCGCTGCCCAGGCGGGTCTCGAACCCGCGGGCTCAGCCCATCCACTCACCTCAGCCTCCCAAAGGCGTGGGATGACAGGCTGAGCCACCGAGCCCGGCTCAGTTATACTTTTCATTGCCTGTCGCTTCCTCCTGGAGACTCCTACCCGGAGGCTCCCCCGAAAAGCCCACCGTCTGCCGGCCTGGGAGGCCGATACAGGCAAGAGCAGGCAGGACTGGCACCCCAGGGCAGGAGGGGCAAGGTAAGGGCTGCAGGGACCGGAGAGGAGGCGGGGGAAGGCGGACATTAGGCGGAGGCCGGATGGAAAGGATGGGTGGAGAGGAGGGGCGATCTGGGTTCCCCCGATAGAGTGGCTTGTGGCCCACCGAGGTCGGGGAGGGAAGAGTCCACGGCCCAGGGCAGAAGCGCGGGTGGTGAACTGCTGGCCTGGTGCAGAGGGAGAAGTTGGAATCCATAGACCCGACGGGAACCCAGGCAGAGGCCTATAGCGAGGCTTGGGAGGACGCCCCTGGAACAGTTTTGGGGCGCTGGAGGAGCTCTCTCTGGGGCTGAAGACTCGGGAACCAGGAGCCCGCAGCAAAGTCAAGCCGCCAGCCCCCACGCAGCAGCGGGGTGAGAAAGGGGAGGAGCCAGGCTGGGTAGATGGATGGGAAGAGAAAAACACCGAGAGCGGAGCCTCGGGGGTGCCCTCGTCCCGGGAGCCTCAGGTGATCTGCTCATAGGAGAGCTTGCTGTTCTGGGTGGTGAGCCGAGATCCCTGGGTTCAGACTCGGCCGTGCCGCCTTGTCTGACGTTGGGCCAATGACTTGGGTTGCGTAGGCCCAAGTTCCTCATCTGTAAAATAGCAACAATGAAGTCGAAGGGGGCTTTGGAGGCTCAGTGTGTTAACATTTGTGAGACGCTTAGAGCGATGCCAGGCTCGTTATTTAGTAAGGGCTGTGCAAGTGTGAACTAAATTGAGAAGACCTATAATGACACACCTCTAGCCGACAGCGGTACATTTTTAGAAAGAGGTGGCTTAGCCGGGCGCGGTGGCTCTCGCCTGTCATCTACCACTTTGGGAGATGGAGACGAGAGGATTGCCTGAGTCCAGGGGTTCAAGACCAGCCTGGGCAAGTTGACGAGACCTTGTCTCTACAAGAAATCCAGAATAAAAGTTAGCCGCGCGTGATGGCACATGCCTGTGGCTCCAGCTGCTTGGGAGGCTGAGGCGGAAGGATCGCCTGAGCCCAGGAGGTGGAGGCTGTGGTGGCCATGAACGTGCCACGGCACTCCAGTCTGGGCAGCAGAGTGAAACTCTGACTCAAAAAAAAGAAAGAAAGATGTGGATTTTTCTGATTTACACAACACTGTGATGTGGGATAGCCACTGGGCTGGCGGAAGGATGGATAGCCAAAACCGCGGGAAAGGGGGCTGTGCACACCCCCACACGCTGCCCACAGGAGTCCAGACGCTCGTCTGGTCTCCCCTGCCCCTCAAGGGCTAGGGGTGCTCCTGGGCACACAGCCTCCCTCTGTTCTCCCCTCCCCGGGCTAGATGAGTCCGTCCTGCGAATGGACGAGGTGGGCCACATCCCACAGACGGCAGCCAGCCACGTGGGCTCCTCGGACGCTCTCGCCGGGGATGAGCAACCGCCCGCCGACATGCTACGCCCCGACCCTCGGGACACCCTCTACCGAGGTAAGGCCATGGCCGGTACCTGGAGTCCAGCCTGGGGACACTACACTCGCAGGCTCGTCAGCATTGCTGGGGGACATTCAGTCGGGTCATTTCTGTAGCAGCATCCCAGAGGCCGTAGAAGCTTTTGTTTTCCGCTGGGCATGGTGACGCACGCCTGTAATCCCAGCACTTTGCGAGGTAGAAATGAGAGGATTGCCTGAGCCCAGAGGTTTGAGAGCAGCCTGGGCAGCATGGTGAGACCTCATCTCTACAGTAAATCACAAAATTAGCCGGGCGTGGTGGCGCGCGCCTGTGGTTCCGGGTACTTGGAAGGCTGAGGCGGAAGGATCGCCGGAGCCCAGCAGGTTGAGGCTGCGGTGGCTGTGAGCGTCCCACTGCACTCCAGCGTGGGTGACAGAGTGAGACTCCGACTCAAAAAAAAAAAGAGAAGCTTTTGTTTTCCTTGTAAAATGCAGTATGCGTACAGAAAAGGATAAGAATAATTATGTGCAATTTGGCAATTCTGCAGATCATTAGAGAACAAGCATTTGGGTAACTATCACCCAAAACAGAAAATAAAACTAGAACCCAGAAGTCCCCCATGTGTCACCCACAGAGACACATAACTCTTGTCAGCCAGTGAGAGAAATATGTTAACACTAAGATGATAGTCGTAATATATTATTCTGCTTAGGAGTGTTCACATTTTATCTGTTTATTTTTTTGAGTTGAGATCTCACTCTGTCGCCCAGGCTGGAGGGCAGTGGCGCGAACGCGGCTGACTGCAGTGCGTGATCCTTCCGCCTCAGCCTCCAGAGTACCTGGGACCACAGCATGTGCCACACCTGGCTAATTTTTTGATTTATGTTTTTTTAAAGTTTAAATTTTTTTTTACGTTGGAGTCTCACTCTGTCGCCCAGGCTGGAATGCAGTGGCACACTCCTGGCCACCGTAGCCTCCACCTGCTGGGCTCTGGTGATCATTCGGCCTCAGCCTTCCAAGTAGCCGGAACTACAGGTGTGTGCTACCACACCTGGTAATTTTTGATTTATTGTAGAGACGAGGTCTTGCCAAGATGCCTGAGCTGGTCTCAAACCCACAGGCTCAGGTGATCCACTTGCCTTGGCCTCCCAAAGTGCTGGGATTACAGGATGAGCCACCGAGCCCAACATTCTATTTTATTTTTTGAGATAGAGTCTCACTCTGTCGCCCAGGCTGGAGTGCAGTGGCACGCTCACGGCAACCGTAACCTTGACTTGCTGGGCTCAGGCGATCCTTCCACCTCAGCCTTCCAAGTAGCTGAACTACAGGCATGTGCCACCATGCCCAGCTAATTTTTTGATTTATTGTAGAGACAAGGGCTCCCCAAATTACCCAGGCTGGTCTCAAACCCCTAGACTCAGGCAATCCTCTCGCCTTGGCCTCCCAAAGTGCTGGGATTACAGGCTTGAGCCACCATGCCTGGCCTTGATGCATGTTTTTTAAAAAATGATACCCAGCCTAAGCAACACAGTGAGAACTTGTCTCTATAAAAAAATCAGAAAAATAGCCAGGCTTGGTGGCTCATGCCTGTAATCCCAACACTTTGAGAGGCGGAAGCGAGAGAATTGCCTGAACCCATGGGTTCGAGACCAGCCCGGGCAACTTGGCAAGACCTCGTCTCTACAATAAATCAAAAAATTTGCCAGTCATGGTGGTGCATACCTGTAGTTCTAGCTTCTTGGAAGGCTGAGGCAGTAGGATCCCCTGAGCCCAGCAGATCGAGACTGCGGTGGCTGTGATCATGCCACTGCACTCTTGCCTGGGTGCAGAGCAAGACCCCGACTCCAAAACAAAAGGAAACAAAATGACAAAAGTCCCTCACTAACCCCCTCAACAAAATGACAGCTGGACACTAAGAGAAGGGTATGTTCAACCAACAGCGGAACCCAGTTATTGGCGCTGCCCTAGGGTGGAGCCTTTCTGGCGTCTTGGAAATTTCCAGATCTCATTGGGGCTACCCCCGCCCAATGACTCCAGAGTCACACTGTGCCTAGTGCCAGTCCTGTGTCCCGAGTCTTCTGCCACCACGCTGCTCCTTGAACGGCCCCGGCCCTGGAGGCTGGGGTCAGCCTCAGGCTGACATCGACCCACCCCAGCTGCCCCCAGTGAATTCAGAAGGTGCCTACTCAGGGTAGAGACTTCAGGCCCCCCACCCTCATCCCCCCTCCCTTCCTGTCCTCAGTGCCTCTGATCCCCAAGTCGCACCTCCGCCACGTCCTGCCTGACTGTCCCTACAAACCCAGCTACCTGGTGGACGGGCTCCCTCTGCAGCGCTACCAGGGACTCCGGTTTGTAAGTCTCGGGCCTGGGCAGGGGGACAGGACCGGGCATGGGATGGGATAGCTGCCTATGACGGGGATGGGAGGCCATGGCGCTGGGACCCGTCTTCCCCACACCCCGTCCCAGCAGACAGGACGGCCTCCCGGGTCCCTGGACCGGGGAGGACTTGCATTCCCAGATGGACTGCCCTGCAGACCCAACACACACACACCAGCTCTGTCCCCATGATGGTGTCCGGGGGCCTGGCTGAGGCTTCCTATGCTCTCTGCTCCGACGGCCACACCACTCTGTCCTGCCCGGTCAGTCCTGCCAGCCAGCAGCATTTAGTAAGCTCAAAGACAGGGCTGGGGAAAAGTGGAAGCCAGAGAGGCTAGAATGAACACTCTTCTGTGTACAGGACGTTCCCAACGTACGGATGAGTTCCGTTCCGAGAATGCGTTTCTACGTCCGATTTGTTTCAAGTTCAACAAAGTTGCCTAGGTACCCAGCTAACACAATCAGCTGTATAGTACTGTATGTATTTAGCCGGCTCTCCTGCCACCTTGTGGAGAGAAGGACATACAAAAATTCAGGTGTGCCCCGTTAAAGTTTGTAACTTGAAAGTTTGTATGTAGAGGCCTCACTGTATCCAGATCCGGTTGCTTACGGGAGAGAGAGCTGGAGGCAGGAGAAGAGAGGTCAGGAGTCATCGCTGGCTCAGAGAATGGGTGGGGTCTAAGTGAATTCCTTGGTGGTGGAGAGAGACAAGCTCTGTTTAAGGGGGCAAAAGAAGCGTGAAATAAGTTACAAGAGAGGATTGTTCCAGGACTGTGGAAGGTTGCAGGTGAAGCCAGCAGTTGCAGGAGAGTATCAGAGTGCAGAGGATGGTCTTGGCTGAGGCTGCAGGGATGGGAGGACTGTGGACGAGTGAGCTCGACTCAGGTTGCGTCTGGTCCAGCCAACCCAGCAGAGCAGGCGGGAGGGACTCCAGGCTGCGCAACCACGTCCCGTTCAGAGCTCAGAGCAGCCCTCCCCTCCCACCGAGGGCAGACCCCTGGCCGCCCCACATGGTCCTGGCCGGGGGCAGGCCGACCCTGGCTGACTGGTCTCTTACCGAGATCCCAGCCTCTGACCCCGGCTGCCGATGTCGTCATGTCTAGGTTCACCTGTCTTTCGTTTACCCCAATGACTATACCCGCCTGAGCCACATGGAAACTCACAACAAATGCTTCTACCAGGAAAATGCCTACTACCAGGACAGGTGAGTGGCACTGAGTGGGGCAGAAGGAGCCAGGAGAGCTGCCTGGACCAGAGTGGCCGCAAGTGCCCTCCCCGCCCAGGGAGCCCTCGCTCCTCCTGGGCACGTCACACGCTCACAGACACACAGGTACTACCCCACCCTCCTTCCTTCACTTCAGCCTGGGCCAAGGCTTCGGAGCTCCCAGCAGAGCCAGGGCTGAGCCGGCAGGGCCTCGGTGCCAACCCACAATCTCTTCCGCTTACAGGTTCAGCTTTCAGGAGTACATCAAGATTGACCAGCCTGAGAAGCAAGGGCCAGAGCAGCCAGGTACAGAGTGACAGCTGAGTCTGCAGGTCAGACCAAGAGGGGCCACCAGGGTCTGTCTCTAGGGGAGGTTTAGATCATGCCCACCCTGCCCCCTGAAGAGCTCAATATTCAAGCCACGGCCGGGCACAAAAGCTCATGCCTGTAATCCCAACACTTTGGGAGGCCAAGGCAGGAGGATTGCTTGAGCCCAGGGGTTCGAGACTAGCCTGGGCCACATAGCAAGACCTTGTCTCTACAAAAAAAATATCAAAAAAATTAGCCATGCACAGTGACACACCTCTGTAGTCCCAGCTACCTGGGAGGCTGAGGTGGAAGAATCACTTGAGCCCAGGAGGTGGAGGCTATAGTGAGCCATGATCTTGCCACTGCACTACAGCCTGGGCAACTGGGTGAGACTCCGACTCAAAACAAAGACACCAAAAATTCAAATCACATGACCTCTCCCCTCCTACCCAGGGGAATAGAGAGCATTACTCCTACCCTTTCCAAGTCTAGGTCCTTGTAGAAAATGGCACTATTGGCCGGACTCAGTGGCTCAGCCTATAATCCCAGCACTTTGGGAGGCCGAGACGAGTGGATGGCCTGAGCCCGCGGGTTCGAGACCCGCCCGGGCAACTTGGCGAGACCTTGTCTCTACAATAAATCAAAAATTAGCCCGGCGTGGTAGTGCACGCCTGTTGTTCCGGCTACTTGGAAGGCTGAGGCAGAAGGATCGCCAGAGCCCAGAAGGTCGAGGCTGGGGTGGCTGGGAGTGTGTCCCTGCACTCCAGCCTGGGCGGTGGAGTGAGACTCCAACTCAAAATAAAATGACACTTTTTAGCAGCATGCTGGGCCAGCTGAAGCAGATTTAGAACCTTGGACTGCCTGAGGGGGTCGCTGTCCCTGGCACACCATTTGGAATGTTCAGCTATGGAGAAGCACTGTCTTCCCAGGCCTTTCTTCCTGAGGAATCAGGGCATGGCTGGGACCCTTTATGGGCTCCCTCAGGTGCTAGACACCTGCCAGGCACTTTATGTCCCTGTGTCACTCAATCTTCCCAACCCCGTGGCAGGTGGAGTATTATTCCCATCATGCAGAGGGACAGCCCTGGGCTCTTGGGTTGAGACCTTTGCCCAAGGTCACAGGATACTACCAGGCAGAGCCGGCATCCAACCGCAGGCTGGAGCCCCTGGGTGCGTCACGCACGGGCTCGTCCCGTGTCTCGTATGTCTTGTCGCGAAAGGTCAAAAGCGCCTGACGTGCGGAACGGTTATTACTGACAACAGGTTTCGAGGAGAGCCTTCTGGAAGAGTCCCAGTATGGAGAAGCTGCAGAGGAGACCCCTGCCTCCGATGCCCGGAGCGCCAGGATGCTGGAGGGAAAACCGGCGCTCACCACCACGCCCGGGCAGGATGTCACTGACTACCGCCTCCGAAGCCTGCGGAAACTCCTGGCTCAGCCCCGGGAGGGCCTCCCGGCACCCTTCCCCGAGCGGAATGCCACAGCTCTGTCCCCCGTGGGGAACAGCAACACTCCAGCCCGGCAGCCAACCAAGAGGAAGCGGAGACCCAGCCCCGAGCCCAGCCGGGACTCACCCCGAGCGGACAAGGGGCCTCCCGGGCGCCCCGCGGGGAAGCTGCCTCCGATCAAGAGGCCCAGGCCTGCTGGGGACGGCCCCGGGAAGACCCTGGGGCAGTCTCAGTGGCTGAACCAAGTGGAGTCCTACATCGCAGAACAGAGGCGGGGTGACAGGATGGAGCCTCGGGCCCCCGGGATGGCTTGGCCCGGGGAGGAGGAAGTGGTGGCAGCCGCGGACCCGGAAGGACAAGTGGAAGGAGAGGAAGAGGGGGAGGAAGAGGAAGAGGACATGAGTGAGGTGTTCGAGTATGTCCCCGTGTTTGACCCGGTCGTCAACTGGGACCAGACCTTCAGCGCCCGGAACCTGGACTTCCAAGCCCTGAGGACGGACTGGATTGACCTGAACTGTAACACGTCGGGCAACCTGCTGCTTCCAGAGCAGGAGGCTCTTGAGGTCACTCGGGTCTTCTTGAAGAAGCTCAACCAGAGGAGCCAGGGGTAAGGTAAAGGGCTCTCCTGGGGCCAGGGACTGGGGCACACGCCACCCGCTGGCCTGGGCGAGAGGTCCTTGGCCACCTGTGTCACTCCATCTTCACCCCCCGACGGGAGCGGCGGGATTATTCCCTTTGTGCAGATGGAGAGCTTGGGGCTTGTTGGGTTGAGTGCCTTGTCCTGGCCTGGAGGGCAGGATCCTGGGGGCGGCTTGCAGGTTCCCCCTGCTGCAGGAATAGCTGGGACTTTACCTTCATCCCCGGCTCCTGGGAAGGACGAGGGTTCGGGGACCCCCTGCCCTGGGAAGGATCATGGGAGTCAGATCCTGATCTCACCCTTAGGGGAGGTTCTGAAACTCCAGGGCACCCGGCTCAGGCACTACTGAGGACAGGGAGGACTTGGTAGATACGGCTCCCTCCCTCGGGGAAGAGCTCGTCAAGGGACAGACAGGCAAAGAAGAGCCTAAAAAGCACAAGTTAAGGCCCCTTATGTGGGCTGGAAGGGCTAAGGCATGAAGCATGCTAGAGTTCTCGTTTTTTTATTCACTCATTCAACCCACTGATTCTTCTTTTGATTCAGAGTCTCACTCTGTCGCCCAGGTTGGAGTGTGCAGTGGCTCGCTCATGGCCACCGCAGCCTCCGTCTGCGCAGACGACCCTTCCGCCTCAGCCTTCCACGTGGCTGGAACTGCAGGCACGCACCACCACGCCCGGCTTATTTTTTTTGATTTATTATAGACATGAGTTCTCGCCAAGTTGCCCTGGCTGGTCTCATACCCGTGGGCTCAGGCAATCCTCTTACCTTGGCCTCCCAAAGTGCTGGGATTATAGGCGTG